TCTTCCATGCCTTTTCTTTTTCTTTGGTCTTTCCATTTTTATTTCTCTTTCTTTACCATTTCATTCTATTTTTTTCTCTTGCTTTACTCGTTTCTTTTTATCTCTTTATTTACACTTTCCTTCTTTTTTCTTTTTCTTTCCTTTACACTTCATTTTCTCTCTCTTCTTTTACACTTCTCCATAGTTTTGCTACTCTTCCTTTTTTCTTTCCTTTCTTTGATTTTTCTGTCTTTTTCTTCCTCTTTTTTCACTTTTTCCTTCTTTTGCTTTCTCTTCATTTACTTTTTCTTCATTTTTCTTTTTCTTTCTTTAGTCTTTACTTCCATTTTTCTTTGCTTCATTCTTTCAGTTTCTTCTTTTACCCTTTCCTTTAAAATACTCTTCTGTTCCTTAATTCTCCATTTTTTATTCTTTCTGTCTTTTTCTTTCTCTTTAATTTTCTTTTTTATTTTATTAGTCTTTCCTTTGCTTTTTCTTTCTTTCTTTCTTTCTTTCTTTCTTTCTTATACCTTTTCCTTCTGTTTCTTTTACTCTCCCTTTTTTATTATTTCTGTTTTTTCTTTCTCTTCCTTTACTCTTTTTTCCATTTTTCTTTTTATTTCTTTACTCTTTCCTTCTCTTACTTTTTCCTTCATTTTTTTCTCTCTATTCTTTTACTCGTTCCATTATTTTTTCCTTCTCTTCCTTTACTCTCACTTTTTCTTTATTCTTTCCGTCTTTTTCTTTCTCTTCCTTTTTTTTCTTCTCTTCCTTCACACTACCCTTCCTTTTACGTTTCACTTCTTTCCCACATTGAAGATCAAATTTCAACAATTTAGCTGGTGTTTTCCAGACATGCCCTACTTTCTCTTGCTTTATTTTGAGACTTAACGCAATTCTTTGCCACCATTTTCTATATTTATTTATTAAGAAAAGTATTATACATTTTCGCTGAGCAATTTGTAACCGAGTATAGAAGACAGACGACAACCGTTTCTGAACCCCTAAATCTATCCTAATCCTCCCGAAATCCAAACAAAGTACAACATTAATTCTAATCTGATTGGAATTAACCCTTATTAAGGCTAAATTAGCACCAATTAAATTATATCTCACCCCTAATTTACATGGATAAAACGTTTCTCAAGTTTCTCAATTTAAAAGCAAGAATCAAACAAGTTCAAAAATTGTATTTTTTTTCCTGAGAATTGTCTTGACAGAAGTCGAAAAACATGACACTGAAATCGGAAATCTACATTGAACCAATAGCTGCATCTTCTGCAAGGAAAGTCTGATCACTGTGCCGTGCCAGAAGGTTTTCCTCGTGAGAGTCCGTCTTACACATCTACAAATCTATCATTAGTCCATATATTGAATATTATTGCCATATCTGGTCGGGTGCCCCAGCTGTTCATCTCGAGGTTCTCGACAAAATCCAAAGTCTCGACTTCAGTTACTTTCTCACAGACGTGATGTGGATTCCTTTTGTATTTTCTTCAAATATTTTCATGGCAACTGCTCTAATGAGCAATCTTCCCTGATGTCCCGACTACATGAATTTAAGCGCGCTACTAGATTGGCATTTAGGTCCCACCCTTTAGAAATAGTTAAATGCAACTGTTTAGGTCTGGGTTTCCCGTTCTTTCTACATTCTATTTCACCTCTATACTTCTAACAGCTCTGCCTAAATTCTGAAATTTATACTATTATTGGCTTTTTGGTTCCTTCTAAAGTTTTTCCCGTCCTGGGTATAACGATAAACTACATACGACAGCACGGCCTTTGATCAGGAGGTTTTGAGGAGCGTGGAACCATCTCTTAATTGCTGGTGTTCCCAGGTCCACCCTGACCCTGGGTGGTAGTACCTGTTAGGGTCACAGCTATGGGCAAATAGTTAACACCCAAACTTGTGTAAAATAGGTTTTAATACCAGAAATACTTTCTAATAAAAAAATTATAAATCGTAATAATTTTTGAGGGAAAAATTATTATCACCAATACTTTAAAAAAAAATACCATTAATAAAAAAAATACCATTAATAAAAAAAATACCATTAATAAAAAAAATACCATTAATAAAAAAAAAAACCATTAATAAAAAAAATACCATTAATAAAAAAAATACCATTAATAAAAAAAATACCATTAATACAAACAACTATACATTCTTAAAAAGTTGGATTGTGGAGATATTTAAAAAAAAATATTTTTACTAAATAAAACCATCCGCGATTGTAAATTTCCTAAAAGAAGTAGGACTGTATTAAAAAATATGAGTAATTGAAAAATGGTTCAAATATATATGTATACATATACATCATTTTTTCCAAACTATCACTATGAATCTATTTCAAAAATTTTGTTGGCATTAAATGACCCACTGAGGTTTTGATATGCCATAAAACAAAACAAACAACCAACCAACCAAACTAAAACTTTCTCTTTTACTTCTGGTAGTCCTTTGCGTCTTAGTGGCATAATCACTTTGATTGGGAAAAATTGATTAAAAATATTAAAAAGAAGCTCCACATGACTCAAATATTCAAATGTCTGGCAACTGGTGATAGTATTGAATTATGTGACGACTTTTTTACTGTATATATTTTTAATACTATCGTAAAGTGATTATCAAATTTGAGTAAATTACGCAAGATTGGAGTAAAAGGTCTTTTTCTTTGGTTAACGACGTATACCACCAATTGCACAGTCATTTTTTCATAGTGATTCCAATCCTATATAGAGATCGTGAGCCTCTGTTACAAATTCCTTTTCTCTTTGAGTCCTATTCTTTAAAAAAATCTTATTTTGTGGTATACTTATTATTTGGTATTCTTAAAAAAATGCCATGCATACCATTCAGCTTGATCAGAAATATCTAAACAAACATCTATATACAACCATTTTCTCAGATCAGTGACTATAAAAATAGTTTCGAGATAATGAATCCTGTAGGTCTTGAAGAGAACTGTCTTTTGTCAGGCTCTATAAACAGATAGCTGTATGAATTCTAGAGTAGGAAATTCAAGCATAATGACAAAAAGAACTTTAGGAAACAGATGTTTTGCTGAAAATGCTGTTGATACAGAAATTCTTGAGGGGTAAGGGAATTTCTCTGACAACTTTTTTTGTTTGTTGGACAAGTATTCGTATAGTAGTTTAAATTTCGGTGGAGAGATAATTCCCTAAAAAGCAGAGAACTGAACTAATTCAGGACACTGGTTATGTAACTACGGTTAGGCGCATACGAACGTAAATTTCGGCGTACAAGAGTTTTCAAGACTAAAAAATAATTTGGGGTCAAGTTTTCAAGCCTAAAAAATAATTTTGGGACGAGTTTTCATGCATAAAAAATAATTTTGGGTTTAGTTTTCAAAACCCGAAAAATAATTTTGGGTTTAGTTTTCAAGCCTAAAAAATAATTTTGGGTCAAGTTTTCAAGCCTAAAAATTAATTTTGGGTCAAGTTTTCAAGCTTAAAAAATAATTTTGGGTTTAGTTTTCAAAATCCAAAAAATAATTTTGGGTCGAGTTTTCAAGTATAAAATATTTATTTGGGTCAAGTTTTCAGTCGTAAAAAATAATTTTGGGTCGAGTTCTTAGTCCTAAAAAATAATTTTGTGTTGAATTTTCAATCCGAAATAATAATTTTGGGTCGAATTTTCAAATTTAAAAAAATAATTTTCTATCGAGTTTTCAAGCCTAAAGAAATGTTTTTGTGTTGAGTTTTCAAGCCTAAACACTTTTTAGGACACGGTTTTTGGTCACTAGTATCTTAAGCGCAGGTTTGGGGGTCGACCAATATGGTAAGTATAGGCCTAACTCAGAATTTTGAGCTAAAAATCTTGAGATCAACTTGTGCGCTAGGTTGACTTGTAGGCCGCAATTTACGGTATATACAGCCACTGAAAAGAGTACGCCGGTCACAATTAAGCACGAAGTTGGGGATTCTGTAACCACAACTGAGGTTACCATGGACCGAACATGTGAGCAACGATGAGGTTTTGGAGAGGATACAAACAAGGAGGAAGCTTATACTTAACATCAGGAAGAGGCAGCTGAAATTTCTGAGGCACGTAATGAGAAAGGAGGGCTCGGAGAATCTGATACTCACAGGGGGATAGAGGGGAAGAGAGACAAAGGAAAGCAACGCGTAACATACCTAGCAGGCTTAAGCAAGTGAATGACAGAACTGAGTCTGGGAGAAGTAGCAAAAGAAAAAAAACATATTGAGAACTACAAGAGATAGGGAGAAGTGGAGAGCCATGATCGCCTACGTCCTGAAGGGACACAGTACATAAAAGAAGAATATGGATCAAGGGAAATGAATATCGTCTGTTAAACTAGGATGTTAACTATTGCTTCATGCGGAGGCAATCCTTCCTTTTTTATGTACCATCTTACCGCAGGACGTAGGTGATCATGGCTCTCTACAACTTTCTTCCCTATGTAGTTCTTAATAAATCTGGTCTTTTTATTATTTTTTCTAAAAAAAACAAAAAAAAAACAAACTGTTCCGCTACCTATTTACTCATGTTCAACATGTTATGCGTTCTTTTCCTCTGTCCCTCTTGCCTTCAATCAGTCTTGTGAGTATCAGATTTGCCAAGCCCTCTTTCCTGATTAGGTGCCCTAGAAATTTTAACGGGCTCTTCTTGATGTTAAGTATTCCTTTTTGTTTCCATTTTCTCTAAAACTTGCTCACATATTTGGCCCATGGTATCCTCGGCACCCAGTGAATCAATAATATCAGGAAATACTTATCAAAAAGCATTATAATGAAAACACCGCCTCACCCGATTGTTTTCTACTTCTAACCGCCCCGCTGCCTACACCCGAATGGCCTTAGCAACACAAGCAGTGGTTCCTCCGTCACTCCTTTGAATTATTTCACTTTTTCTAACGCCTTCTCTGTCTCTCTTTCTCTCTTTCGCTTCTACTAACAATAAGTTAGAAAAGTAGGTAAAAATGTAAGTAAATACTCAGCGGTATCCCGTATTTCCCCGTCTCCTTCGCGGCGAAACG